ATCAGTGGACATGGTTAACTGTATACCTGCCTTACATCAACAAGCTAACATTATAATTGTGAGCATGTTAGCATTAAGCTCCAGTTCATTGCAACAAAGAAATCCCATTGCAGCCCAAAAATCCTCCATGGAGGTTTAGTATTTGTGAAACGTTCCTTGAGCCGAGAAAATCAATCTTAAAATCTGTGATGTAACAACAATGTAAAGTTTATTGGCTCGAGCAGGAACTTGCAGGTGAGGCCAGGAGAGAAACACTCTCCTGGCATATTCAGTGGTCCACGTAACTAGGACCTAAACCCAGAAGCTACAACACTATTTGGCCTCTGTGCTAGGTGAGCAATGCTAATCATCTTTGAGTCTGGTATCCAGTTCTTATAATACATCCATGATTTGTCTTCATTGTGTTTAATAACAAAGGATCATTGCAATACAAAGGTTTTGCAGATCTCTGAAAAGCATTATGCTACCTACCGTAACCGAGCACCAAATGGCAGACAGCCAGTTAGCATCTAACTGATGAACTTTGTGCAGCAGTTGGCAGCTACACAGTTGTATATTCGTACAGCAGTTGGTAGAGCAAACAATGCAAAACGAAAAGGAGAGTAAATATTTGACTTACATTCGCCAGATGGCTAGAAAACCAACTCCAAATGAATGCTAATGTTGCTCTGTGGCTGCTGGAAGTTTACCAAAGTTCACTAAATCAATTTAAAAAATGATTTTGTACATCTTGCTTATGCTGTCCCCAAGTGGCCAAAACAATCTAGTTTGAGAAATAATTGTTTCGACATTCCTGTTCAACAAAAAGCCTCTTAGTATTTTCCCACTTCTTTTTTGCACGTTTGACATTTGAGCAGTTCTCAGGTTTCACTGACATTCGAGGGGCTGGTGTGAGAGATGCTCTGTCAATGTGAGGAATGCCTTAGTTGCTACATTCCCTGACAGGGACGCGCTCTTTTAGCCAAACAGGCACCTGCATGAATATATCCCTGGGAAACACAAAAGATCACCTCATCACAAACTAGCAGAACATCAGCATTAGAAAAAAAGACACTTGCTTGAAATCTGGAGACAAAGCCCACATGAACAAATAGCTGCCAACCTTTTGTCCTCTGAATTGTTGAAGGCTCCATTGCTCCTACGTGTTCACACACTCACTTCACAAGCTTCATCCACTGTGAGCACTGCTTTCAGCTTCACTCACACAGGCCCTTAATTCTCCTTTAAAGATAATTGTAAATGAATAAGTGATTAAGTATAAGATGAGTGAGGTTAGAAGAGCAGGGGATGAGGAGGAATGTGAGGGAGTAGAGGGAGCCTCAGAGCGGGAGGGACGGCAACTGTTGATGATAAAGATGTGATTGAGAATGAGTTTGAGGGGGACCCTCTGAATGGAGATTTGCACGAAAATAGATTGTGTCTGTCAGACCCCCCACCGTGACGCAGGGCTAGAGTACAATAGAAATGGCAATGGTCATTAGGAATATCTCTCAAACGTTCTTCCTCTGTTTTTCTCAACTTTTCTCACATGCGCCCATCCCCCCTCCTTATTTTGTAACGTCATCATCCCCCTGTTTCCCTTATGCAGTCGCCAACGCTTTTCCATATCCTTATCTGTTGATCACTCTGTTTATCTTGTGTGTGAAAACGTTTGCAATGAACTAGGCCTCTTTGAAAGGGCCTACACTGTTTGACAAGTGGACAAATAAACTGCTGGATGTGATTTGAGCAGAAACATTTTGATGCAAACTTATAGCTGTGTATGGAGCCTGGACAGACCATGTTTTTTTGGTCACTTTGGTAAACAAGTTTTCAGCTCAATAGTGACCTTTCACCTTTATGAGGTGAACTTCTAAGAAAACAGTTGCCTACACATTCAGCCAACTGAGCCAACAATAGCATTAGTTTGGGGTTGTTTTTCGAGCCACGTGATGATTCTTTAATAGATCTGTCTGGTAACCACCAACCTTTGTGATATATGGCTCTTTAGCCATGCGCTAACTTTGTCCGTCTGTCGCTTGGTGTTTGGCAAGTACCATACAGTGGGTTTATCAGAGCCTTTTTAAAAACTGAAAACAGCTGCCTGTTACTTCTAGGATATACATGCATGACAGCCATGGCAGTTAACTGGTATTGTTTTAAACCACAGTTGTGGGGCTCTTAAACAAGTTCTCTGGTGGTTAAGTAAATAAGGTATGTGATATAATATTTACTAAAATAAATAAAGAGCAAATTCAAGTGCATTTTCTTTAGAAGTGCAGAGAAAATCTACTTTGAATTTGATTTCACTTAACTTTCACACATTTTCCCTCATGTATAATCCCTTTGTTTGGTGTTATTGTGTTTAAGTATGTTCAAGTTTGTTACATTGGATGGCTCACACAGTTTATATTAAGTAATCTTTTTTCATCCAATTCTAATTAGATTGTTACACAGAAAATGTTTCTTGCAGAAGGTGTATGTTAGCTGGATGGCCTTTTCCCACTACACACATACACCCACACACACCCACCCCACACACACCCACCCACACACAGCCACCCACACACACCCACCCACCCACACACACACACACACACACACACACACACACACACACACACACACACACACACACACACACACACACACACACACACACACACACACACACACACACACACACACACACACACACACACACACACACACACACACACACACACACACACACACACACACCTGCTGTTCCCAGTCCGGCCTCCCTGTGAATGAGGACTGCAGAACAGAGGTTGGCAGCAGTCTGCAGAGCTACGGATGCTTATCAGAAAAGCTTACAAATCCCCCCCGATGCTCCTGATACGGAGGACAATGGGTATGCGTGCGTAGTGGGAGCTCTCTTTAAAGCCTCATTGAAACTGACTTCACTCCTTTGCTCTTTAATGAGGTCAGTGTTGCCCTGCTAGCTGTATCTCATCACTGAATAAAGGGCATATAGTAATAATAAACGTCACTGGGGTGACCTGCGCGTCAATAATATATTTTTCCTAAAAAACCTGCTGGACATATTGTACCATGTTAAGTCAAATACTTAAATCATTGGACGTGACATCAAAATAATCGTGTTCAGTTTTGAGTTCTATCACAGTATATTATCATGATTTCACATTTCAAACATGATTAATGTGTATACTATTACAAATTCCACAGTTTCTTCCTTCTTTTTGTGACTGTGTCTTTCTGTTGAACTTGAGGTTAATGGCTCTGGTGGGAGCAGCTGTGAGGCCACCAGAGTTGCAGGTGAGCATTCAACGGCTTACAGTAAACACATGAGTCCCCACAATGCTTTGTGCTGCTTCCAGAGGATGTGCCTGAAATGAGACTGAATAAGGCTCAAACAACAATGAAACAACAAGAGGTCTGCAGCTGATGTTGTTGTTCACAGTTTCAAGATAAGCATCGCATTAATAACGTTTTTTAGTTTGAAACAGGAATAAGGTTTTTGGGGTGGTTCGTTATTCGGAGGGTGTTTTCAGTTGGCCCTGTGGTACTTGGTGATGGGTTTAACCCGTTTGTTGGTTTTGGGTGGAAGATGTGGTTAACTGACTGTCTGTCTCTCTGGTTTCATATTTGGGTGTCTGGGGCGAGGCTCGAGGAATTGCCCTTGTAATATGGTTTCATGTGGTTAATGTGTATTGTGCATAGTGTTCCTTCTACATTTGTCCTATTGTGAATTAAAGGTTGGTCACTAAATCATTTAACAATTAGATTTTTCTTAAGTTTGCACAATATGTCATACATGTTTTTTTCTTTCTTACGGCCCGTCCACACAGCGGCGTGCGTTAAAGCTTCAACGCTTCAGCCCATTCACTTTGAATGGGGTGACGTCACGCTTCGCCGAACTGCATTGTGGGAGCGAAGCGTAGCTTTGCTCGCGTTGCTCGCTGCAAAAGTTGAGCAATGTTCAACTTTTGAAGCTTCGACGGAAGCGTCAGCCAATCGAATCATATGCCAGTACAAGCTCTAGCCAATCAAACCGCTGCTTGTGTGTCCGGGGCGGGAGATTCAGGTGATTGGTTGTTGGTCTAGCTTCAGACATGCCCGCCGGCAAGCGACAACGCACGCCGCTGTGTGGACGGGCCGTTACGGTAGGTCCACACGGCAGCGTGCGTTGAAGCTTGGCGGTGGGCGTGTCTGGCAACCAATCACATTAATCTCCCGCCCCGGACACACAAGCACGCGGTTTGATTGGGTAGCGCTTGTACTGGCATATGATTTGATTGGCTGACGCTTCCGTCGAAGCTTGAAAAGTTGAACTTTTCTCAACTTTTGAAGGCAAAGCGACGCGACGGAACCACAATGCAGTTCGGCAAAGCCTGACGTCACCCCCTTCAAAGTGAATGGGAAGCGTCCCCGTTGAAGCAACGCACGCTGCCGACGGGCCGTTACAATATTACAGGCCCTCGTATACTGATTTCAGACCCGAATACCATATTTAAACTTTTGGCAACATAAAGTTTATAGCTAGATTTAATTATTTATTTATAACCATAACACTATAGCAGCGAGTAAAACAAAGCATCTAAACAGGCTTAGGGCTTTTATTTTCTATTTCTTAAGTCGTTTTTAATACTACACACAATCTATTTGTATTATTATTTAATGCCTTCTAGCATGATAGTCACTAAAATGTTAATTCCTTGCATGCTTTGATAATAGCATAGAATATAATTGCACTGCTGTGCATGTCAAATTATGGACATGTATAAACCTGCATGCCATATAAAAACCTACATGAAGCAAAAAAACACACACGATGTTCATCAATGTGGAAATATTGTATAATATATTATACATTCAAGCGTCGTAAACCGGAACTTCAACGTGTTCTTCTTTCCTTAGCCGAAACTCTCCGGCCTGTTTATTGAACGCCCTGGGCGATGCCATGTGAAAGCGCTGTTAGGACCAGCCTCGGAGGCGTAGCTCTGCAGAGTATCAGCAAGTGCAGAACAAGGAACAGGCTCAGATTCACTCAAGGAGGCGGAGAGTGGCGCACACAAGTAGTGGAGTTAAAGTGTTCTTCAGCACCGAAAAACATACATCTGTTCTTTTAAAGAGAAGTCTTCAGCGAGGAAGCAGAAAGCAAAGACAGGTAAGCTGCTTGTATGATTTCATGTGGGGTAGGAGGGCTAGTTTCTCGGCATTCCAACAATTAGCTCATCCCAGAGATGCTCGATACCTGCGATAGTCAGTGTGTAGATGCATGAAGAATATAGGATTCAATGCTGTGTTATTGTCAAAAGCCTAAACTGCACAACGTAATGTAGTTCTTTCCACGCTGATCATCTTTATAAACAAAGATAACGTAATTAGTATTTAAAAGTGTATTTTTTTTTTAAATACAGATACCAAACCGGGATAAAAAAACATATGCTGAGTAGGCCTATTGCTACTGAAACAGAAACTTCTTATAGGAGTAAAATGTGATTTTTTGTGATTTTTTTAAGTTCTCTATCTTCCCAGCGTGCCTTCACACTGTTTATTTGCCTGCCAGTCCAAGCACGCAGTGAAGCTACTGTATACCAAACTGACTGATAAAAGAAGTTTGTTCCCAGCTGATACAAATCAACAATGACAACAATGACATTGTATGTGTTTGCCGTCAGCAGTCTGGGCTCTTTCGCTGGATTCGCTATTTGTGCGCAATGACGCACAAGGCAACACTTTTACTTTATAAAGAAACCTGATGTCATGTATTTAAAGGTCTTTATAACAAACCTAAGCCTGTAGATAGAGACTGACAGGAGAAACTTCTAACACACTCGATGCACCTGCAACCTTATTGTCGAGGTAATTAGCATGAACATCGCCTTCAATCGCTTTTATTGTGTGTGTATTGAGTAACAAAAGACGTTTTCAGCTCATTTGTAACTGGATGCTTGCGAGGTGAAAAGGGTAGAAACAGAAAGAGAGAGAGAGGGAGAGAGAGAGAGAGAGGGAGAGAGAGGGAGAGAGAGGGAGAGAGAGGGAGAGATGGGCTACATCTTATGTCTCTGTTATCTGTTGGTTTGGGTGTTAAGAGGTTAATTAGCTTGAAGCCTGTGGGGCTACCTGGCACCTCCAGGTATTTTCCATATAATATGAGGGAATTAGACAGAGACCATTGTGAGGGATTATCTCAGTATAGAAAATCACCCTGTTACAATGAATAGCACTTTCCACTGTCTTGAAGTAATTGAAAGTCAAATGAAAGATAGGTTTTCTGATTTAAAAAAAAAAGAAGGTTTATTTACAGGTGGTGTAAATACCTTATTTAGGTATTAGATGATAAAAAAAACAAGGCAGGATCCTGCATTCAACATGTTGTATCAAGAAGATGAATTTAAAGAAAACGTAATACATCTTCTATTATAGTGTGATTTTATATTTCAGCCAACTGAAATCCCATGAAACATATCTGCAAACATCACATTGATGCAACCACATGCTTTTAAATGTATAACCAGTTACTTAAAGCTGCAAACTTTAAGTAACTGTAATTGTAGCTGTCAAATAATAATTATAAGAAAAAAAAGGAATACAAATTGGAAAAATAGATAACAGATTACAAAGCCAAGACATAACACACACTAGACAGCTGCACATCTAAATATGTTCCAGGTGTGCTTGTTTATCCTTTTTTCACTTTGCCTTACTCTTTCATCATCCTCTGTGACTTTTTAACCAATTAGTGTACAGCACAAGTCTCCTTCACAGACAGATGTCTGACGGGGTCACATTTCACTATTTTCCGGCGTGCTGTGTCACCCAGTGGTCGGTGACCCTCGTTTTAACCTTGGTCGGACCATTTTGCAGGCATCAAGCCTCCTGCTGATCACTGCACACAATTCACTCTGTGGGCGTACAAGTCAGTGAGGGGCAACAGCGGGGTTAAGCCACTCGTGCTCTGGTTTTGATCTATTACCTATCACCTCTGATCTATCACACTGTGGCATGCCGTCATTTAGGGCAGCTAAGCAAGACATCACAGCAAAGGAAATTGGGAGTGCAGGCCATGCATGGCTTCAGTGGCCCTTTAGGCTCAAAAGCATCAGATGCCAGATTATTGGAATGCCTTTCTGCTCCAGACTACCACCTCTGTGATCTGGCATATTGCTTCATTCCCCTTACTCATAGCATTCTTGCACCCTATAGTTAAAATTGTGTGCATGTGTGGCTGTGTTATAAGATTCAGATGTAAAATGACGTATTGAGGTTATGAGCAGCCCCTTCTTTGATCATCTGGGTGGTGACAGCTCCCTTCTCACCCTCTCCCTCAAGAGCAGAAGAGAAACATATTTTTCTCTTGTTTGTGTTTTACTATAACAAGCATTTTAAAAGAAAACATATTTTAAATTGACATCAGATTTCCCACCCTGACCCAAATTTTATCTCGGAATGCCCGGAACGTTCCGGAAATACACCCTGTTTGGATATCTCGATCCCACTTCCTTATGTCTAATCTGCACTCTGTGCTAGCCGAGCTAATATAAACATTTATTGTACTGCTCCTGACTGCACATCAATCACAGAGTTTGTGACGCGGCAACAGAGAGCCTCTATTAACTCATGAAAGCAGTGTTTTAACAAGTTAACCGCATTAAGATTCTTCAGGATCTGGTGGCATACCACAAGTAGCTTTCTGTTTTATTAGCTCATGCAGTCTGAGTCCACATGGGTAAAACAAGCCATGCTTTATGAACCAAATATTGCTTTTAAATATGATACCAGCATGCATGTAGTTGTTGGATCCTTATCCAGATAACTTTTTGCCACAAGAAATGATGAGGTGCTATCTTGTTTTTACAGGTTCTATCCCAGTCAGAGGTGGTGTGTGTTACCTCCCAGTGGTCTGTGGTCTTCTCCCTGCGCTGAAAAATGAGTCTGAGCACCAGTGAGATGGAGGACCTGTGGGAGTCGTTGGGGGACCTGAACTTCTCTGAAGCCTTCAGCAACATATCCAGTGTGGATACAATGGTGTGCGCCACGGCTTTCAACCGCAACGCTCTGCTGTACTCCATGTGTGTCCTCTACACGTTTATCTTCGTTGTCGGTCTGGCTGCCAACGCTCTGGTCCTGTGGGTAAACATCCGTGCACAAAGAGACTCCACGCCTCGCCATGAGACACACATGTACATCGCCCACCTGGCAGTCGCAGACCTGTGCGTGTGCGCCACCCTGCCCGTGTGGGTGAGCTCTCTGGCCCAGCGCGGCCACTGGCCCTTTGGGGAGGTGGCGTGTAAACTCACACACCTACTTTTCGCCGTCAACCTCTTCAGCAGCATCTTCTTCCTGGCCTGCATGAGTGTGGACCGCTACCTGAGCTTGACGAAGAGTGGAGACAACGAGGGGGGAGCGCGCAGGAAGCTAATACGCCGCGCAGCGTGTGTGGGAGTGTGGCTTTTGGCTTTGGTTGCCTCCCTGCCTGACACCTACTTCCTACGCACTGTGAAGTCAACACATGGGGACACCATGCTGTGCAGGCCTGTGTACCCGGAGGGAAACCCCAGGGAGTGGATGGTGGGGGTGCAGCTGAGCTTCATCCTGCTGGGCTTCGCTCTCCCCTTCCCCGTCATCGCAGTGTTTTACGCCCTGCTAGCCAGAGCTTTCTCCCGCTCCTCTTCTTCTTCATCGTCTTCCCCAGTGGAGCAGGAGCGCCGTGTGAGCCGCAGGGTGATCCTGGCGTACATAGTGGTGTTTCTGGGCTGCTGGGGGCCCTACCATGGCGTCCTCCTGGTTGATGCCCTGTCTCAGATGGGTCTGGTGCCTCTGACCTGTGGAATGGAGAATGTGATCTATGTGGCCTTACACCTCACCCAGTGCCTGTCCTTGCTCCACTGCTGTTTCAACCCCATTCTCTACAACTTCATCAACAGAAACTACCGCTATGACCTCATGAAGGCCTTCATCTTTAAATACTCCACAAGGACTGGCTTGGCTCGCCTCATCGAGGCTTCCAACATGTCTGAGACTGAGTACTCTGCTGTTGCTGTAGACAACCCACCACAGATCTGAAATGTAATACCTAAAATAGCATTTCCTGAACACTGTTTCTAAATCTGAATGACTGTAATGCAATATAAACATGTGTTACAACTGATTTGTTCTTATCATAATCAGTCCACACACAGGATCCTATGTATAGAAATCTGCTTGAGTCATGTAGAGAAGCTTGAAGACAGGCTAATATCAACGTGGATGGATCAATTTAAAAGCACTTAGAAAGCAGTCTTATAAAAACAGCTGATACTGAATTCACAAAAATATAATTTGTAAAGCCAAAACAGTAGCCGTAAATGTCTAAAAGTATTGCTTGTAATATGTATGTAGGAATGTACTGTATGTTTGCGTGTGTGTTTGCGTGTATGGTGTGCTTTATCTGACAGGCATTGAATATCAATAGTATCAACAGATTAGTATTGTTAATCTTTTTTTTTTATCAATTTATATTTATATATTTACATTCAAACTGTTTTGCCTCTTTCATGTTGTAAATATTTCATGTTGAAAGTCTTCACACACTGATGTCTGCTCAGTGCTTCACTTCATACAAAGCTGCTTCATCAATTTAGTCGAGCCACTGACTGGCTCAGTGTTTCAGTCCTGCTGTTTCATTCAGATCCCTTCAGACAAAAGAAAACATGCGTTCTTTTTTCCATAATGAAAATAATTCTACTTTTTGTGAAATTTTGAGATACAACTCTCATGCCTGTACACTCAATAGGAAGCTACAACTAGCTGCTGATAAGTTTAGCTTTGTATAAGAACAGGAAACGGGGGGGGAAAAATCTATAACAGCAACTCGAAAGCTCACTTATTGACATTGCATATTTATTTGTTAATCTTTACAAAGGACAGATTTTTTTGGGGAGAGTTTAACGTGCTGAGCTATTTCTGTTTGGACGCAGTGACTTTCTGTTGTCTTCCAGTCTTTGCGCCAAGCCAAGTAAAGATAATCACATGTCAGCTCTAGTTATATATTTATCATACAGACATGATAGTGCCGTAACTCTCTGCAAAAATGCAACAAAAAAAAGCAAACTCCCAAAATGTCCAACTGTTTCTTTCTAGAAAGCTGAGATGTTGTGCTTGCAAATGATTTACAATGTCCTCACGGCACATTATTCACTTTGCAGTCGTGTTTTGGTTCTAAATATTTCCAAGCATTGTCTGGAGGGGTCAGCTGGGACTACTGAGCTTGAAGAGCAGATACATTATTTGTTTTCTACAGAATTACGTAATATTCTGCAGTATATTGTTGCTATACTTTACATCAGTGCTAATAGTGGAGAGCACATGTCCATGATGTACTAATCCTCCTAAATCAGCACAAGGGTCACAGATGGCTAACACTTTTATGACCAAATAACAGAATGAATAGTTCCTCTACTTTAATATAAGCAGCAGCTGTGGTGTGTAACAGTCAAGCAAAACAACATCATTGTTTTACATTATTGTTGTGTGTGTGCATTATAGTGTGTATGTGTGTGTGTGCAGTCACTGCTTGACAGCCAGAAGTTATGTGTCATAAAAATTGAGTTATACAGTTTACTCACTGTCTGTTGTAGGAAGCAACATGTTCTTTTGTTATGCTGACATGAGATTGGTTACACATGAATGTTTTTACTCTGAAAATATTTCATCTTGTCATCAGAAAAGACTGGGGACATATAACATGTGTCTACAAGAACGAAGACATTCCTTTGGTATTGTAATGTGTAACATCTGTTTTGTTATATATTAAATCTTTGAAAATGTTTTGCCCCATTGGCTCGGTTTTTTTTTGCACTTGTCAAACTAATCTCACAATCTTTTGTCCTCCATGCCCTGCATTTCCTACAAAAAAGGTGTTTGAACTGAGAAGCTGAAATGGAATGTGCTTTTACTGCTCCACTTGCTGCATTGAATCCCTAAATAACAAACAATCTCATCCAGCTGAAACATAACATGTGTGTTTTGTCCCAGCTGTCATGGGATCCATGTACTGTACTCCAGGCAAGTCACGGTTGTCATATTACTCCTGCTGATTTAAAGGCACAGACTGACTTTTCAGGGTCCAATGAAAAACATTAAATTAGGTTGTTTTCTTACATCTTGTATAAAAAGGATACATTATTGTGATTCTTCCTCAAGTGAGACAAGAATAAAATACGTTAGCTTCACTTAAAAGTATTTTTTCCCCCCTAGCATCTGAGAAGAAAATATTCACAAGTGATAAGTAATACTAATGTTGCTTTGCTGTCGGTTGCACTTTCACAAAACGAATTGTCTCTAGGGACAACAACTCATCAGTATTTTCTCCTTTGACCCCAGTACTTGACCTACTGACCTGTGGGAGGGATAACACCATGCTACTGTTATCTTCAGGATATGGGACAACCCTCCAGCCGGCCTGCTTGCAATCAGCTGCCATTTCTAAGTAATGATTCAGTTTCTTTGGGCAGCCTCTCCCTCCTCCTCCTCTGGGAGGATGAGCTCAATGAGGAAGACAATCTTTGTGGCCAAGGACCCCACCACTATGTCCGGGCGGAGGGATGTGGTGATCTTCTTGGGAGATCTCCCTGCAAAAGTCAACTTACTTTTGCCTGAGGAGTTGGTGCAGCTTCCCTCCTGTCCTGAGGAAATTGATACATTTTCTTTTCTGTTAAAGAGAGTTGTTTGTGTTCTCAATTTAAAGAAGAAATATAAAAAGTTGGGTCCCAAGTGACTCTTTACTTTTTCATTCTAGTTTTTTTTTACCTCTTGCCTATATTTCCAGTGTTTGGGCCTCCCTTTTCAGTATCGGGTCACGCCACCAGCTGTGGTGTCCTTGAGACAGTTTGTCTGTCTTGCTAACAGGGTTTGTTGAAGGTTTGGATTCCCAAGAGCCCTGCAGCTCTGCCCTCTTTGCTGAACGCCTGGTTGGACAGCATGTTGTAGGTTCATCTGATGAGGAAGTTGTGCAGGGATTTCCAAAGGTCAGACCAAGTGATTGATCTGATGACGATACCTTCCTTCTCCGCTGTGACACTGCCTTGATCTTGCAGCGCTCCTGGTGTGCAGTGGTCTTCTCTGTCGCAACCAGGAGCCCCCCCCTCCCCCTCCTTTTTCTTGTTTGAATGATTTTCCTCACACAAGACCTACTCGTCTGACCTAAACCCCGTCAATCTCTTCCTGATGTTGCAGCCTGCTGATGGCTTGCTTCAGGTCAGTGAACTTCCACAAAGTAACTCACTAAACAAGATGACGTGTAAATGAAAGGGCTTTGTAGTCACTGGAATGTAAATTGTTTTGTTTTTCACAAAGTACGGGCCAGGTTAACCCACTAGGCCTCTGGCAAAAGGTCAGCTGTGAGCTTCTTTGTACAGTGTGGGGGCGTAGAGAAAAAAACCTTTAAGCATTCAATATAACATTCGATGAGTTATGATATACAAAAGGTTATTTTATGGGGGAATGAATCCTTTAACATCAATGCAGTAGAAACAAAGATATAGTCTGTTTTATTTCACATGATATGGACAAAACAACTCTTACCATTGCCGACAGTTCAGTCAGAGATTTGGATGAGTTATGCTTGTTGCTGCTAATGTAGCCGCTAACCTTGAGTAGAGATAAGGAGTGTGCTACAGCTAAGTTCTTTTAACTCCAACTCCAGATATTTTTCATTGTAAAACTTTAGCCCTAACAGACTCCAAGTCATCAGCTTTGTGTAGCTCTCTCTGGGGCCACGAAAGCCTAGAAACACATTTTCTCACACATGTAGTAGTAGCCCCTTAGACAAAATCAATAAGGTTCCCCTTTAAAACCTACCCAATTCCAGTTTATAATAATCAATGCATCGAAATACCTAATTGCCAACCTGAGGGCTTTCTCATGAGAGTCTGGGGCCCCGGGGCAGTTGGTAATCCAGACTCCAAGAGAGCTTGTTCAATTTATTCTTTACAGCAGGCTAATAACACCCTGAAGCGGTATTCAAATATACACATTGACACATGCACATACACTCATGCACACACTGAACTAGACTATTAAATGCAAGTCAATAGCATTTGTATTTATTATTTCAAATCAGACTTAATCTCATAGCCTTATTCCAAACTGTTCCACTGTAACAATAGATGTCCAATACATATACTGTGTGAACAGAGCGTATCACACACTTCTGCTGCTCTAAGATTGAACAGCCTGTGTTTTGCTTGGCATGCACATATGCTGCGAAGTGCTTTGTTTCCTTTTACAGTTTGCCAGTTATGACTTTCTTCTGTTTCTATTATAAGTTGCTTGTACAGTATGTGTCAAACACACTACTGGGCCAGTCTCCTACGCAAACCCAAACAATCAAATCTGTGTAAAATTTAAAAGTGGTAACACAGGAGTAAAAAGGTTCCCCTCATAACACTTTATGCTTGCAGTTTTCGGTTGAAACCAGCTGGAATGCATTCAGTCACATCAATCTGTCCAATCCAAACCAGAGGATATATTTACAGCAATTGTGAGATACGAAAAGCTTAGTGTTCCAAAACTGGACATAAAATCATCCGATGCAGCTAATTCACCACTTTTCTTATGGCTGGGGTCGTGTATGAGTTACTGTACATTTTTAATGGGGCTATCTTTCTGGTTTGATTTATAAACTATAGGAAATAGGCAAGAGATGATGTCGATTTAGGGAGTGTTGCTTTACAGCACGATGATAATCTATACCTTATGCTTGGTAGAGATAACACTAATGAAAGATGGAAAAGGGAAGGAGGTGCAGAGGTGGAGAGTAATTAAGAACAACTGTTCTTTTTTGTGTTCTCTGCCGGAGCAGAACACTCACATTGCATAGCGGACTATATTTAGGCTACACATACTCGGCATGCATGTGTTGTTATAATTGTAACTTACATTACTTCTGGCCCATTTCCAAGCATTTAGAATATGTTCAATTCCCAATCAAGCATGTGCTCGCTTCGCTCGGTTTGGCTGGCTGGAATTTCAAATGAGGACTTAAAGGGTCTTGAAATATTAACGAAGTAGAAGAAGAAAGCAGCAGCTGCTTCTGCTCATGAGAAGTTTTTGGTGTGAATATGAAAAAGTTAAAGGATACGGGTAGTTTAGCACTTCATGACCTCTCCTCAGGAGAGGAGGACAAGTAGTACGGACAGATGTCAGACAGATGTTCAGTCAAAGGGGAAATGAAAAATTAGATTTAAAAGACTATCATGCATATGGATCAAACAACACCAATGGCACATGTCAATTTACACATTCACAGCTTATTTAACCTTCCAAGTGCAGGCCTGATAAAAATTAAATTGAGGGCAGATTCTTTGGGTGCACTGGAATACATCAACATAAACTGCGGTCTATCCAGAACTGGAATTGATGTTGTTGTGTTCAGGAGTAATACGGATACTGTGAGGTTCTTTGATACCAAGTGGACCATGCATGCTATATTTTCTTGTTTAAGAAATAGTGAAACCCTGTGAAGGTTTAGGGAAATAGTTTCTGCAAATACAGATTTTTCCAATGTATTTTTTACGTTACTGTTAAAAATGTATTGCATTGTTTTTATTGGGTGTGCAAGCAGAACACTTAGAGAAAGGTATTTAAAAAATGTAGGACAAATCTCTTCAAATCAAAACCCTTTGCATGTGAAAGTATCTTGCCAAGGAAACTTAGACCACAGGAGCTGGGGATTGAACCACCAACCTTTGTATTGATGGATAACAACTCTTCCTCCTGACCAGGGGCGCCGTTTGCCGACAGGCAAGGCAGGCAACTGCTTGGGGCCCCGGACCAGAAGGGTGTCGGAGGTGTCATGTCTGCTTGGGGCCCCCAGAGTGTCTTGAGGCGCCACTGCTCCTGACCAACAGCCGACCTAAGTACATCTGAAAAAAGAGTCACAGGAGACCTTACAATGACTAGTGAGCGGAAAGCATATGCTGCTTTAGTGTCTATTTCATTATAAATGGGACCATCATTTGCAATATGGACATCATGTTGTATTGAAGAAGACTTGAAAATAGGAATATTTACGATAAACTTGACAGGGAGTTGAAACTGAGCTACTACATCAAATGAAAAGTTGGATCATTTTCTCGTATACATCTGTAAAATCAGACTTCCTGCTAGACATCAGAGACAATGCAAGTTTAAGGCACTCTGTTATAGGCTTCACTTTTCAGACCCGGATGTTGCCAATTGTGTTCACCAGCTTGTTGCTAATTCTGCCTGTCTGCTGTTTTGTACAGGGCAGGAAGTGTACAGAGGGTTTTTAGAGCTGTTTAGCTGGTTCTTATTTATGCACCAAACAGAGATCAGATGTAGAGTTCTGAAATACGCTTCACATGTAGCATGACTAATGGGCTGAAATGCCTACCATCCCATACCTGATAATACTCAACTCCTCATAAAACATCCCATGGCTTATTGTCAGTGTGAAAGCTCTAATCTCTTCCAGATCCACAAATGTAACTGTATAGGCGGGACACACATGGCTGTGAAGGCTTGATATACGGGGAGTCTGATTTATACCTCACTCCGTGCACAAGCCACAGATCCGGTGTTTAGACATCACCTAATTCATCCGCCATCCCGTCGTCTTTAAGAGCTCAGCCTGATGTGCAACTTTAAGTTCACCCTCCATCCCCCCCTCTATCAGCTCAGCGGCACGCTCGTGTCAGAGGCGCTGATGAAACTTCAGAGGGGTGTCAGAGAAGAGAAGCCAGCTGCTTTATGGCTCAAAGAGGCGCACAAATTCATACAGACTATTAGCCTGTGTTGTTACTCA